AGCGATCATTTAGGTGGGCATAATGGCTCACACTTGTAGTTCCAGCACTCTGGGACCTGAAGCAGGAGGATCAGAAGTTTGATCTCAGCTTGTGCCACTTCAGGAAACCTTGTCTCCAAAAGAAATCTTGAAAAAACAAAAAAAAAGTTGGCACTTTAGCTTAGAGCAAAGGTCGTGGGTTCAATGTCTAGTACAAAAAAAAAGGGGAGGGATAAGAAAACAGTAACTATCATTTAAAAACTGTATAAATTACTATCCCAGTATCCTGCTCTGAAGTTCTGTACCAATTTCACTACACTGTCTTGATTGGCTTTGTTCTGTCTTGTTTTGTTGTATTTTTACTACCTTCAAAGTAAAATTTTTTTTAAAAAAAACTATAAATTTATTTTTGAAGGATGTACAATATGGTAAGAAAGAATATTTTGAAAAATATCTGTGATTTTCTTTGAGCATTTCTGCACCACGCCACATTATCCTTGGGTGTACTGATCAGAGTCTAGGAAGAGTTAGGATGGTCTCAGCAGAAATGCAATGAGAAAAAAACAGTTAAAGATAAGCTTCCTACAGATAAAGTAGGATTTCTTTTAGGGAGTAGTATACTAGCAAAGCTGAGCCAAGGCAGGCAGCATAGATCATGAAATAAGAGCTAATGTAACTCTGGATCAGACAGAAGAGCTGCTCTACCTCCAGTCCCAGCAGTGACCTTACAGCAGCTACTTCTAAATTTTTGTAGAAGTAAAGATTTATTATAGGCTCGATCTTCCTCTGAGTCTTCAAGACACTGTTCCTGGGGAGAGAAATGAGTGGGATCATCCAGTCAATGTCCTATGCACCCCTGATGCCTGGAATGGGTGAACAGGGACCAGGAAAATTCAATTTCCCAGTGGTGCAAGACTCCTTGTCCTCAGGAAGCTTGAATCCTGTTGCTCACAGGATTCTGCATTGTCCGTGATAAACCTACACAGCTGGTGTGCATGCTGGGTGCGTGTCTTACCTGAAAACAAGGTTGTTCTTGTTTTAGAAAATAGACCCACAGGGAAACAAAGACTTTTTCTAACAATAAATTTACAGTGCATATAGCTGCACTGCCCCATGTCCTGTCTAATTGTTCAACATTCATCAATGGAAAACTAGTTAACTAAAAATGAGGACAAAAATACAACAGAGTACAATGTGATCATCAAATATGATGGTAGGAAAATATAATTATGACTTGGCTAGATTTTTATAAATACTTTGAGAGAAGAGAAATAAATTAAATTCCATATGAATATGTTGTAATTCATGAAAACAACATTACAGAAATTTGTACATGACATGTGAAAGAAAGCATTTGTATATCATAAGAATTTGATATTTATGATATTTGTATATCATAAGAATTTTGTATTTACTCAATTTATATTTCATAAAATTTTATTCTGTTTTATGTAGGTTTAAACAATAAATATAAGAGCAGTACATGGTTTAAGTGTTGAATATCTTTTTGTAATATTTTTCAAGATATCTCTTTGCCTGAAAAGTTCTTCCCCATCCCAGACTCAAATAATCAGCTACTTGATCTTTATTTTGTAACCTTATTTATATCAAATTCTTTGGTTTATCTGAAATTTACTCTGTTACTCTGTGGTGGGATACAGAATGATGATTTAAATTATATATTTCCCAAATGGCTAAGCACTTTTTAAAATACTATTGAATTTTTACATCTGTCCACTAAGTCCTGCTGCCTAATTGTTGGACCAGCTAGAGATTCATTTTTCCAGGATAATTTGAGGCAGTTTACTCTTCTCTGATTGCTGGAATCAGTTCATGGAAAAATTAAAACTTCTGGCAACTATTAGCCTTCTCACCTGGCTTTGCACCAGTGTTACTTCCCTGTTCCTGGCTTCAGTGAGCTGCTCAACGACCTTGTCTTCCCCGAAGTGGTCTCAGTACTTTAAATTGCAAGCCTTGAGTAAGAGGAGGAAGCATAGATTAGGAGTGCAGTGACTGTGGCGAGCTCCTGGAGAAGCTGCTGGGCATTAGACAGGTAACTGACTGTTGGTCCTCATGGAAGACTCCAAGCCTCTGGATTTGCATGAGACCCAATCTCCCATGCAAATCAGGGGCTTCTTAGACACTTAGGTTAATAAAACTTCTCCTGGAATGGGATAGACACTTGACTAATATGTTTAATCTCTGGGCAGTTATAATTTGCAACTGACTTCATGACTAGTTTTCCTGAATGGTTTTAGAAAGTGTGTTGGGGAATGGAGCGGTTAAGTCAGGCATCTCTCTGGCCAATAGCTTTCTTAACCAAGAAGTTCAGTAATTCTTTTCATATTTAAATTACTTATTTCCTTTGAATCAACCCTTTAGAAACCTTGTTATTCTTGCTGATCCAATGACCATTAATACCTTTGTAAAACACTACAATGCTTTGCTACCCTATTCATGAACTTGAAATTTTTTCGCTGGTATTTTTGCTTAAAAGATAAGTGCATTTAAACTCTGACAGCCATTATAAACACATTAAATCTAACTACATCAAAGGGGGAAAAGGAAGAGCTTCCAAATTCAAAATGATAATACCCTTTGGTTTCTTAAAGTCCTCTCTTACTTAAAATACTGCTTCAAAATAAACTTTCCTCAAAACTGACTTTTTATTGCAAGTGTTCTGCTCTAATACTAGTCTAATTTTTTACCTGTCTTCAACAACCATATCTCATTCTAGCATAAGCTGCTAAAAATAAACCATCAGCACAGCAATGGTATCGCCTCAGCAAACTTGCCTACACTTTATGGCTATTTTTATTCTGAGCAGAATGTATTTCTCATTAGTTAATTAATCTTTTAATGGAATTTCTTCTGCACTATTTATCAAAATTACTGCACTCTGCCCTGATCACCCTTTATAAGTGATTCGAGATAAATAAGTTTCAATGCAGTTCTGAATGTTCTGCTCTAATGTTTTCTGCCACAAATAAGAACTCAATCAACCTGCTCCCACGAGTACTGAGTCCAGATTTTAAACTGCATATATAATTGTGTGGCAATTGATTCTCCTGACTGTGCAGTGATTCAAATTTGCCTTCTAAAGGGTCAGAAAAATAAAAGAATTCCTAAATTATCTTGCCATCTCAGATCAATGGTGTGCTTCCTCCTTCTCAACCACGTGTTGAGAAACTTATGTGAGGTGGACAAGTTGCTTCAGTTGTTACCTCTGGCAATATGCTCCATCCTCCATGGCTACTAATGAGTGTCCCACTTGGTCTTGTTCAAGGTACCTGTCCAGGGCTCCATCTACCCCATGCAGTGTGTATATCCTTGCCTCTATTTCTGAGCCTGGCTCCATGTCCATCTAGTACATTCTGGCTTAGTTGAGGTCTGCTAAAAAGACCAGAAATTATGTTAATGGACATGCTTTCAGGGCCACAAGGCATATCAGAGGTAGATTTAGATTCATTTCTTAAAAATAAATATGGTGAGTTTTCCCCATTAATTATAAAGACAAAAAAATAAAAAATATACTCCAATATTAGCATTAAAAGTAAAATCCACAGAAAGATATAGAACTAATCTTATGTGCTATTCATCTTCTTAAGGCACAGGGAACTTTGCACTAGAACCCATTGCTCTGGTTGGTGATAAGAACACTTCATTGCTTTTATGATTACATTTGTGGGCGTGAATATCCCTATGAATAGCTTGGGACAGTCCTGCTCAAAGTACAGTCTACGAGCTGGTACTGGTGCAAGAGAAGAACAGATACTGAGAGATGATATAGTTTTTGCAAGAATTTGCAGCAACTGAAACTCTCAATTTTGCATTGGTAGAAATGCAAACTGTATAGTCACTTTGGAAAACAATAAGTTAGTTTCTTACAAAACCAAGAAAATTTATGTACCATACTTTTCATACGAGCCAGAAAGCTTGCTTTGATATAGTTGCTCAAGGGAAATAGCAGCAAAGATTTGTATGCAGCAGCATTGTTTACCAGTGCCAACAACTGGGAACAACCCCAATCTCTACGTACAAATTATAGGGGTATGGAATAGTCTATAGCAAGAAGGAATGGAACAATAGGTGCAATCACAAGGATGAATATCAGAGACATTAGTAAAACAAGTCAAACACAAAGGACTGCATCCATGCCGTGTGATTCCACTGATGTGAAATTCTACTACAGGTAAAATTACTGTACTGTACTGTACTGTACTGTACTGTCAGAAAAGAAATAATCTAGGTTGGGGGACAAGGTGAAGGGGATACACTGCAAAGGGGCCTGAGGGAACTTTTTGGGATAATGGAACTTTTTATATCTTGACATTGTTGGAGGTTAATGTCCACATACAGTCATCAAAATTCATCAGATATTGCACTCATAGCAAATAATTTAATTGTATATAAATTAGACTTCAATAAAACTGGAAAGGAAGGAAGAATATGTTCCAAGTGCAGGACATATTTCTGAAAGTAAACAGGATGGTTTGAAGGGAAGAAATAAAATTTCACTGGGCCCAATAGGAAACAATTTTGAGCCACAATCAATAAACCTGATGTAGAGTATTTTTATTTTACACCAATCACAATGAGTTCTGAGATCCCTTTGTAGCACAAATGAAGGGGGTCAGGACTAACACCCAATTTCCATCTTGCCACGTCGCGTTAGATGCTTGGAGTCAGCAAGCACTGTTACACCTGGGGTATAATCTGAATCTTGGCAATAATGTGTAATACACATCTCCAGAGCAAGCCTTCAGAGTATGGTCTGCCCTTCTGAAAACAAAATGTCATTCTTATTATAGCCTTTATTTTATTTTCCTTTTTACCAGCACCTCAGAGATTAGCATCGACAATTTAATGTTTATGTCAGTGAATCAAAGCTGTTTCCATGGCAACCCTTCTAATTCTCAGGAACTGCAATTGACGTCAATTTACTATTAATGGAAGACAGAACAAAAGCAAGCAGACAGAGCAAAAAAAAAAAAAAAAAAAAAAAAAAAAAAAAAAAAAGCCTTTAGTGCCCAAGACTGACTAGTAGAATATTGCAGAAGGGGAATGTATGTGTCGTACATGAAGATTTTAGTCTACAGTGGGCAGTCAAGTTATTCAGCACATAACTCCTTCATGCTCAGGTGGGTAAATTGAAATCATAGGCACACAGAATATTTCTGCTAAAATATACCTTAAAGGTCATCTAGCACCCCTTAAGTGTTATTGTAGCACTTGGGCCATTTTATTTTGGGAATAAATCCACTACTTAGGCATGGTACTTCCTCATTTGGAAGGCAGTAATATTTAAAAATTTCAGTTGCTATGCCTTTCCTATGGGTATAGCTCATTCTGCACCTGGAGTCTTAATTCCCTGGTCCTTGAACTTTCCGCATCCATCCCATAACAGATAAAGCATTTTTTCATTATTGTGTTTACTAAACCTTCAGCATTTGTAATAAGTTTCTTTTTGACTCAAAAGATATTTAAGAACATTTTAAAAACTCTATGTGATTTTCCAGTGTTTTATTTCTAAGTTTTTTTCTATGTGGTTGTTTGTGCTTTCTAGAACTATATTGAAGTTTTTTCAGCACCCTAATATGATATCATTGGAAATACTTTAGAATAATTTGAAGAATACCAATAAGATAAAGCAATATAAATTGAGCACACTTACAGATACCTCTTAACTATTTAATTACCCTTGATCTGTTAACTTTCCCTTTACTTGACTTATCAAAAACCATAATTATTGAAGTTAAAATTCAACAGTTTTTGCTAGATGTATTCTCTGTAAAGAATTACTCAACTAATTTTAATTACTTAAATGTACTAATTTTAAATATATATATATATATATATATATATATCAGTTTATGAGGGTAAAAACTATCACGTACATCAAGTTATGGAAGAAAATTCCTATATATGAATGCCACATACTCTCTTAAATGTGAAATATCTTATAATATCTTCATTTCTGCCTAATAAAAATGTTGCTCTCCATTTTTATGGCCTAAATAGTTCCTATTATCTTTAAACCTTTTTTCTTTGATTTGCATAGATGTGAGTATCTCAGATGAGAAAATTTTTTACTCAATTTGGATCTTATTAATCAGTAATTTAACTGGTTTTGAGTATAATTCACCTTTGCTTGTCAATATCTTTTATGCAAATCCTAATGCTTTCTTGGTGTTTTTCATTCGCTACTTATTCTTGGTTTTTCACTTGTTTTCAATCCATGAAATTTGGGATGTATATGCTCTATTTTTACCCATAATTCAAAGACAAATTGATGTATATGAACTACTATCTGGTAGTTTTCCCAATTCAGTTTTTCAGACATATCCACTCCTTCCAACCAGTGCATTGGAAATTTTTCTTTTACATTATTGGCATTAGCAATACAAATTTCTAGGTTTTTTTTTTAAAGGTAAATAACACTGTAGCATTTTCCAGTTTTGTCTGGTTAACATTTAGAATATGTCTACTGTGTCCCGTCCACAGTGACAAAGTACTTCTAGCTAACATACATTTAACTTAATAGCTTTATACTTTTACACAGCAAAAATAAAATGGTATTTACCCAATACAGAGAATATTTGCCATGCACTTTGACAATTTAAACTACATGAACTGAAAATTTTAGATCTTACAAATCAATTTTGCATTTAGTTAGATTACCCTATATGTGGCAATTTTAAACTTCATGGTCCTTAGCTAGTTTTAACAATTACCATCAAATGTTTCATAGATTCTTTTCTTTACAATTTTTAAATTTTTCTATTGGCTGTAGTAAATCATTTAGCAAATTTTTCAGAGGAGGTCCTTGGTCGATAGACTTTATAATGCCTTGATATTGAGAATGTCTTCCAGTTGCCTTCATTCAAAAATATTAATTTGGTAGGGTATATAATTCTTTGTTCAAAATTATTTTCTCTTTTACTTTGTAGGTGTTGTTTCATTGTCTTCTGACATTTAGAACTGCAAGAAAAAAACTGAGGTCAATCTGACTTTTGCCCCTATAGGTGACCTACTTTCTCTCTGGATACTTGTGATATTTTTTTCTTTGTCACTGAAATTTTAAAAAGTCACCAGGATGTGTCTAAGTGGTACCTGATTTTCACTAAGTTTGAAAAGTACCCAGTGCGACTTCTGCATCTATAGGCCTGCTTTGTTCTTCAACTCTGGAAAGTTTTTAGTTAGTTCTTATTTCTTGTTTTGCCTCCATTTGCTCTGTCCTCTATTTCAGATTTCTGTTGAGTGTAGCTTGAATCTCTAGGACAGGTCTTCCACATCACACTTTTTATCCTCTTTTTCATCTCTTAATTGAGGAGGCATTTTCTTGATTACTTAGCTCTATTCCTTTCTTCTGAATTGGAGCATTACAATCTTTTCAAGGACTGTTCTTAAAAACTGGATCCAAAAACATGATCTTCCCAGCACAGAAGTTGAAAAACATCTAGCACCCCTGTCATGGTTTATGTCTGTGTTGCCCAGGCCTTAAGAGTTTGCATTGTGTATTTGTGATTGGTTCATTGTCTAGTGCAGGATTGATGGTGTCAGTGCTCCACCCACATAGAGGTGGAGCCAGGATGTGATGTAATGGCAGGAAGAAGGTGTGTCTTGCTCTTTGCTGGTTCCTATTTGCTGTTTTGCAGCCACCATGAACTGCGGCCCAGCCGTGCCCGCCTGCCTTGGAGCCAACTGAGTGTGGACTGAAACCTCCAAAACTGTAAGAAATAAACATTTCCTTTCCCAATTTTGGGCTTCAGGTATTTTGTCTCAGCGATGAGTAAGAAGTAACTAATACAACCCCTTATTTTAAAGTTAAGAAAACTAAGTCTCAGAAAAGGGAAGGATTTAATTAAGATCATTCAGCTGGTAAGGGCCAGAACCAGGGCACAGATTTTTAAGGTTGGGGTTTTCTTTACTCACAGCATGATATTATCCTGCCTATCTTTTAGATCCAGTAGTTGAGGCTCACCTAAGTACTCTTATGGAAATCTGTTGTGCTGAATCCTGGAAGTTTCTTAACCTGACCTATCAACAGAGACTGAGACTATCAGTTATGGCTAAGCACAACCATTTCCTATAACCAAGAGGTAAAATAAAAAGCCCTGTAGCAAGCCTGTATATGTAAAGATTCAACTACCAGAAGCAGACCCTACCCTCAGGAATTTATGCAGAATGGAATTTAATATAGGAAATTGTCTGCTAATGAAACTCATGGAAGGATAAAGGAGAGGGCTGTAGGGTAGGCCACCAGGAATGATACCCAGCACTGTACTCCCCATGCACTGACCTCTGCAGTTTCCCCAAACATGGAAACTCGACTGCATAATTTGTGGTAGTGGGGGACTACGTTCGCGCTCTTCCCTGTAATTAAAAAGAGAAAAAAAAAGAATGATACCCAGAACACTCTAGAACTGAGCTACCAGGGAAGCAACCCCATCCATTCCAACCACAAAGTTAGAAAATTCAGAGACTGCCAACTTCTGACTCAAAGTAAATGCCAGTACAAATAAAATCCATGAGATCCATGATTAAATAAAAGCCACTGTCACCCACAACACCCTCAAAGCTTGAGGAATGACAGTGAACCACTCCACTGGGAGGAAAAATCAGACTCTACAACCACACCTGACATGAGAAAACAGTCAGAAAGCAACAGGAAGATGTCTCAACCTAACTCCCGCCTCCAACTTCCAGTAACCTCATCTCATTGGCAGGACCTGATTTGTACCTAGAACCTTACCTGCAGGCCAGTATGGGAGTGCAATTTTATTTTGAGGTTTCCAATTTCTACTTTTGTGGAAGGTGCACTAAAATGAAGAAGAATAAATGCTGAGTATCCATTGACTGTATCGTGATGAAGGAATTCACCTGAATGTAACTTGGTTAATTAGGTAACATTAACATACAACCACAATAATTTGCATCACTACTTTGAGAAGCATAATGTTACCTTGAGTATAGAAGTAAAGTCAAAGAGCACCCTGACCCACCTCCAAAGGGAATGGATAGGAGGAAAACTAGTCACATGAGACAGTGTTTGGCAGAATGGATTAAGAATTTTAAAGCATATGGTCTACAACTCAGAAATTCTACCTACCTTTTTCTAACTCTGAGAAACAGTCACACACGTGCACAAGAAACCATGTACAAGGGTGTTGATTTCAAATCACTTGCAGTGGCAAAAATAATAGTGGTGCCAAAATATTCATTACTAAGATAAAGACTGAATAAGCAAATGGGAAAACTTCACCAGAGACTTTAATGTAGCAAGTGAAAGGTACTGTCATTAAGGGGTCTCCAGGGCATAATGCAGAATGAAAACAAATTACAACATATATGGTATAATGTTATTCCTATTGACAAGAAGACAACAGCTCACAAAACAATTAAAATTTTATAGGCATATATTTCTGCCACTAGACTGATTGTGAGGCAATCCTATGTGAATAATTTACCAAGAAAATGGTCAGCACCAATTCTTAAGCTCTTGAGGCCTCAGACAGAACAGGAACATGAAGAAGTCAGAGTGATGAAACACTCACTAACTACAAGCTTTAGTGAGAGAAAGAAAGACGTACTATCTGTAAATGAGTACTAAAGTGTTCAGTAATATTTGGGCTGAAAGCTACAAAAAGCTTATTATTTTGGAAATTTTCTACCTTGCAAAGAAGGAAGAATATAACAGCAAATTCCTTTTGTACCTATCACACATCTTCAACAGTTACCAACTCATGACCAGTGTTTTTCTGATCTGCACATCACCCAGTTCTCTCTCCTTCAGATGATTTTGAAGCAAAGCCCAGATATTGTATAATCCAGAGATAATTTGGCAATTATTTCAAATTGTCTGTCTAAAAAATAAAAATTCTTTTTAAAAAATAAAACAAGATATCATAGGTGTAGGCAAAGACTTTGTCCACAAAACCCTGATGGCATAGGAAATGTCACAAAGAATCAACCACTGGGATGTCATCTCATTAAAAAGCTTTCTTGCATAACAAAAGAAAACATCAGAGTGAAGAGACAAGTCACAGAGTAGGAAAAACTTTTGCTAGCTGTCCCTCAGACAGAAGACTAATATGTAGAATATTAGCACTGTTTCTCTGATGTGAGACACCAAAAGGGCAAGTGAGAACCAAAATGTGTACCAGACACTGTGAAATAGGGATTAATGTTCAAATGGGAAGGGAAATGAGGGAAAGGGAGGGAAAGGAAAAAGAAAAAAAAAGGAAAAGAGACAAGAAGGAAAAAAATGGAAGCAAGTTTTATAATAAGAAAAGAAAGGGGTTTGAAAGGAGGGGAGAGGAATGGGGGAAAAAGAAAAATCAGGATGTATCATGTACAAATTCCCTATGATGAATGATAACATTATGAATATCTAAAATGTATCAATGAAGTTAATTTAAAAACTAAAAAATAAAATAATATACAAAACAAAACCTAATGTCATCACGCCCTCAGAAATAATCCCTTAATATCATCTGTAGAATGTTCGAATTTAATTTCTTTGACATATAAAATTTTCATACAGCTTTTGATCACCTGTGGATTTAAAAAGTTCTGTGCATACATTGTAATTAGTTGCTACTTCTTCTTTATATTTTTATTATTTATTTACTTATTTTTGTCTTTTTGAGACAGGATCTCATTATGCAATTCAGCCTGGCCTTGAGTTCATTTTGTAGCCCAGACTGGTCTCAGACTTAGATGGATTCTCCTACCTCAGCCTCCTGAATGCTGGGATTACAGGTGTGAGCGGCCACACCTGGATAGTTGCCACTTATTCTAAGTCACTTTTAACCTATAGATTCTTCTTTTCGTTCCAATGTTTCCTACATAGGAGGGGCTAAAGAAACTGGATCTTGGTCGAATAGCAGTTTTTCTAGTCTGAATATTGCTGACGGCATTCCCATGGTGTTACTTAGCATGTTTTTAAATATGATTATCTGTATTTTTTGTAATTTGTATGTTAGAAATGGAGCAGTAATTCTCAAGAGAACTCTTTGGAATCATCTGAGAAATCTTAAAAATCTTGAAGCTGAGGTGAATATCAGATTTACTACATCAGATATTTGGGGGATAAAGCTGAATAATCAGATTTTTTAATGCTTCCCAGACAACACTAGTTTTCAAAAAATGTGGAAAACTAATGATCTAGTATTTTAATCATAGTTAGATCAATTTTTTATCTTCTGGTTGTATTTTATATGATATACTATAAAATTACAAACAGAATTTCTGTTTTATGATAATGTAAACTTAGAAACACATCACTGATTAGAGAGTCTTGAGAATGGCCCTGTTTTTCATCTAATGTCAAGAGATGTTTACCCCTGATAAACAATGGGAAGGAAAATGATGTGTATTTCATTATGTCACAGTTTGTCCTTGATCAATGAACCAGTGACACATAAGTGGACAGGAAGAATGTCTAGAATAGAACACACAAAACTATACCAGTGAGCCACCTGTGGAAAGTGACAGAGTCCAGTGTGGCAATAGTGATGTGTGTACTCACAAGGGATTTTAACTTTAACTTCAGTGTTTAAATTTTACACTAAGAATATAATCTGTGAATTGTATATGGAAAGCTATTGAGAAGAAATAAAAGATGATTTCTAGACATTAAAATTTATTTTTTCATTATAAAAGTATTATATACTCTCTAAACAAAATATGAAAAAACAGGGAAAGAAATAAAAGACAGTTTAAATTCCCTTTTCAAAGATGTTTGATATGCTACCTCCAGGTATATTTATAAAATTAGATTTTTTTATGAACAAAACCCCTTTTCCTTGATTTTTAAAATCTTCTTGCTGGTTTGGTCATAGGCACTAGATATTAATCTATTTTATCTTTTGCTTCTAATACTTCAATAATACCTCATAATAGTTATCTTATTGACATATAACAACATTTATCTCAATTGCTATAACTCTCACAGACTTGATGATATGTATTCTTTTAGTGTTCTCATTTTATTTATTTATTTATTTATTTTGTCTTTTATGAGACAGGTTCTCGCTATGCAGTTCAGGCTGGCCTTGAGCTCACTTTGTAGCCCAGGCTGGTCTCGAACTCGTAATGATCCTCCTGCCTCAGCCTCCTGAAGAATGTACCACCATGCCTGGCTGTTCTCATTTTAAAGAAGAAACTGGAGCTTTGTGAAGATGTATAACTCACCCAAAGGTACAGCAATGTCCATTCCCTCTTCCTAGCCAGAGGCTGGAATGACCCTGGCCCAGGGAGCGTGTCCTCCCTGAAGTCCCAAGTCTTTCAGGATCAAGAGCCCTGCAGCCCTGAGGTGTAGTTCAGTGGTAGTACTCCTGTTTAGCACGTATGAAACTTTGGGTTTGAGCCTCATTAAGAAAATAAAAGAGGGCTGCAAAGTCCTGAGTTAAACAGTGAGTCAAGAGTGGGAAATCAGAGAAGCTGAGTACTCAGAAACTAACAGCAAAAAGCCACAGGACACAGCCAAGGAATCTGCAGACTATGGAGATGAAAACCTGGGTGAATGATTGGAAGTGATGGAAGTCTCTAGAGGAATATGTGGGGCAGTAGTGTCACTCATGTCTGTATTTGCTGTGCCCACATGGGCCCAGTTTTGGATGGGGCAGCCGGGAACTGGAATCCATTTCAATGTGCTGCTTGGTATAGAAGCCCAGTGCATCCCTTATCTCCTGAGTCATTGCTGCTATGGAATTGTCACGGGACACTTGTTGGTCTGTCCTGCAGCCACTCCCATCCTGCTCTCCCCAGGAATAGCCATCAGGGCTGGCTGGAAAGGGCAGCGTCTTTTCTCGGTGCTCTGAGGAACATACTGCCACTTCCTGCCTCTCTGGTGACTTCTGACCTGTGAATTTGTGCATTTAGCAAGAAATTTGCTGTATTTAGTTAGGAGTTTGGAAGTCATGCTCCTAATTACACGCCACATCATTATTCAGTAAAATGTCCTTACTTAAATTTGTATTACAGTAACCACTCAAGGAAAACCAAATTGACAAATGAAGAAATCTGGATTTGTACAAAACAAAGAAATATTAAAGATGTTCAAAGTGGCAAATGTACTACTTATTTAAACAAAACTTTGTTTTTGTTACATGCAGCACCCGGAGGACCTATGAATGAATCTACTAAATTTTCCTTCACGTTGTCAGACAAAACGTCTGTTTTGTACAAGCAGCAGCAGAGGGCGCTCATCTCACAGTTTAGCTTTATCTAAACTGAAGGAAAACACTATTATATTAATGCCTGTGTAACTATTAACATGTTTGTGACTGTTGAAAAAAATAGAAGACAGAATATGGATGGATGGATGGATGGATGGATGGATGGATGGATGGATGGATGGATGGACGGGAGGATGAATGGATGAATGATGGGATAGATAGATGAGGGAGGGATGAACAGATAATTGACAGATTGATAATAGAAATTATTCTTGTGGCCCCTCCCCTAACTATTGATGTTGCAACCATGCCTGTTATGCTCCTTTTAATAACTGCCACCTTTTCCCTCCTTTAGCATGTTCATTTCCTAGCACTGTGAAACACAGCACGGAAACTTTCAACCTTGAGCTTTAAAAGCTGGGGTGCTAAGTCCCACATTTCAGTGCAAAGCCTTTCTTTCTGCGGGGCCACAACCATTTCTTGAGCATGTCCAGGAGAGGAGGAGGTGAATCTGTTTTCTCCTGGCATGACTTTGATGATGTTTCTTGTGAATGAGCTGCAAACTACCGCAATACTGTTTCCTTTTTCCTGTTTCCCTTCCTCTCCCACATCCCTCTATCCTGCCAGGCTATTCTTAACCATGCCTCCCTTGTTTTATCCCTCTGAGGTCATGGTCTTCAATAGGTAAGATACCCGCCTACTGTAGCCAGCCTCCAGAAGGGCCCCTGAGCCCCACCTCCTTGCATGCACACCTTTATACAGTGCTCTCCTGCACTGAGCAGGGATGACCTGTGCCAGGATATTGTGAGAATGACTGTATGGCCTTCAAAGTTAAGCTTACAAAAGACAAGTGCTTCTGCTTTGCTTTCTCTTGGATTACTGAGCCTGCTGCCCTGGTGTGAGGATTCTCAGGTGGTCCTATGGAGGGTGCAAGTGGCAAGGAACTGAGTTCTCCTGCCGGGAGCACTTTTCAATGAAAGCATGCTATGCAAGCCAGCTACCTGGAACATGAACACTTCAGCCCCGACACAGCCTGCAGGTGACTGCAAGTATGTCAGCACCCACTAGGTGCTCCCAAATGTCTCACCCACAGAAACCATGGGATAATAAATGTTTATTATTTTAAGACACTAGGTTTGGGGTAATTTGCTATCCTTTTTTCATCCTGCCTGACAACACATTTAACACTGCTCTCTTTGTGGTTTCCTATCCTTGTGGTTAAAGCTCCAATGGCTTATCGTTAATTTCAGAATAAAACCCAAATCCCTTCCCAGAACATATGTATGTCCAGATCCAACTTCTGCATGCTTTCCAGCCTCCTCACTCTATCTTTCCTCCCCATCTCTCCAGCCCCTCGGAAGCATATTGCCTCTCGCTATGCATGGAAGAATAAAATTGCCAGGTAAAATAGAGCCTGCCCAATGAAGCTTAAATTTCAAGTAAACAGCATTATTTAATCTGTATGGCTATCATCATATGGGACACACTTATACTAAAAATATTGCCTGGTAATACCGATTCTAAAAAGTAATTCTATTTTTTATGTGAAATTCACATTTAACAGGAGCATCCTGTGCTTTTTAGTTACTAAATCTGGCACCCTTACAGATGTGAGCTGATTTCTCTCATCTCACCCACCTGCCGAATTGCTGCAGCTTCTCTGGTTAATCTTGCATCCTGCAAGAATGCAGGGAGAAGTCAGTGCCTCTAAAACTACCCCAGCCCAGAGACTGAAGAGGGTCAGGGGTGCCCCACCACACAGTCACAGATGTCTCACATCACACACACGCGCACACACACACACACACACAAGTGCACACACACTGCAATCACAGCAGGGTCCCTAATCCACAGGGAACACAGGTCCCTGTGGTTACCTAAAACCTCAGATAGGCTTGGACTGTTCATACTACATACTGTACATACTCTGTACTCTCCTGTGCATACTTACCTACAGTAAGGTTTAATTTATAAAATGGGCACAGTAGGAGATTAACAATAACAAGTAACAAAATGGAAATATTACATAAATAGAATATAATAATTATGCCAGTGTGGTCTCTTTCTTGATATAGTCAAGATAAATATTAATATTTTCTGATTGTGGTTCACTATGGGTAAACAAAACTACACAAAAGAAACCATAGCCAGGCAGGACTGCTGTCCTCAGGCCTAGGTTCTGAGCCTCTGTGCCAAAGAACATGCCCCAGCCATGGATTCCAATTACTGCAAGTTAAAAGCCAGTTAATGTTCTAAGATGTTCTGAATATATTGATTTGTGAACCTTCATGTCCAGACAAAAGAGGAACTTTTAGCATACCTCTTTGACCCTGAGGAAATGGAGGCGTGAAGGATTTAAGGATCTCCCCAATTTGCCTTCACTAATGGCAGTGAGGCTGAAGCTTAAACTCAGAAGTCCGACTTCAGAGCAGACCTGCAAATGGTAAGCTAGAGACACTGCCTCTCTACGGTGATTGATGAGCGTTTGCTGATGGACTTGAGAATCAATTATCTAAATTACCCGGGTATGTGACTTCAAACAGGGGCTTCTCTGGCTATACTCCATCTACTGTGCCCCGCAACACACACACACACACACACACACACACACACACAGAGAGAGAGAGAGAGAGAGAGAGAGAGAGAGAGAGAGAGAGAGAAACTACTATTAGCACAAAGCCCTCACAGGTAAATATCAAAAATTTTTTCTGGTTTTTCTCATTTCAAATCCTGATCACAGCCATATCCAGAGCATCACCATGTACCACCTTCCTAACAAAGTGTGGAGAGCCACTTGGACTGCCTCAAAGCTCAGGGGCATCTAAGGACACCTGAGGACATGAGCCCACTTGTCTAGTGCAGGCACACAGTGGGATACAGTTATGTAACCATGACTTGGCACAGGTAAACACGCATGCACTGGTTACAGCAATACAGAAGAATGTAAATATGAGGTAACAGCCTGTGTGAGAATTATGCAGTAAAAATACAGGCAGCTGTCTTGCTCTCTGCTCTGTTCATACTGCTTGTTGTAGTTGCTAATGCCTTACCCACGTGTGTTCTTTAACCTTGGGACTCTACCTTGGACCCCCTGAGCAGGCTGACCGGAAGAGAGGATGCAACACACTTTAGGAGTAAAAGCCAAGAGAACACTGAACTTAATAGCATGAATTCCAGAGTAAAAAGCTTCCTGAGCTCAGATATCAACTCTACCACTTAGTGTCTGTGTGACTTTGGCTGAGGACCTGGTCTTAGATTCTTAATTTGAGAAGTGAAGGTAATAGTTTTTCATCATATAGCACGGTTAAGAATTAAATGAGATTAAAGGAACAAAATGCACTAGTATGGTGCCTGGAACACAACACTGACTCAATAAACATGAGCTGTTAGCACTGCAATTATCCACACAGCTCAACAGAAGCATCTCTGGGCCCTGCACCCCTATAAACTTCTGTGACTTCTTTGGTCCTAATCCTCTTACAAAATTTCAGACAAAGGTGATAGTGCTGGGTCTGCATTCATATATTTTGGAGGTTTAAAAGTAAGATCAAGGCTGGAAGGATGCCTACAGCATAGGAGGCAGATAAGCGTAGGCAAGTCCACCCTGTGAGTTTGCTTTTTGCCTACTGTGTAGTGTGGGTGGCCCATACGCCCTCCAGACTCACAGATCCAAAGTTGCTCCCCACTGAGAAACTGTGTACACATATTTTATGCTCTAATGGTCTGTGTGCAAAAAGCTCTGTGCATCTCAGTGTACCTCAGATGGCTAAAGAAACACACCATAATTCACAAGTAGCTGGCTGTGCATGAGAACTTCAGCATGTAAAATTTTTAAAAGCATTGTAGTATATAATTTATTATTATAATCTTCTCCCCAAGAAAAAATGAGCTGGTAAATCAGAGAAATTATACCTTTTAAATTTGCCTACGACTAGAGGTGAAGAAGAAGAAGGAGGAGGAAGAGGAAGAAGAAGAGGAGGAGGAAGAAGAAGAAGAGGAAGGGGAAGAAGAAGAGGAAGAAGAGGAAGAAGAAGAAGAGAAAGAAGAAGAAGAAGAGGAAGAAGAAGAAGAAGAAGAAGAAGAAGAAGAAGAAGAAGAAAGAAGGAGAAGAAGAAGAGAAGAAGAAGAAGAAGAAAAGAAGAAGGAAGAAGAAGGAGGAGGAGGAAGAGAAGGAAGAGGAGGAAGAAGAAGAGGAAGAAGAAGAAGAAGAAGAAGAAGAAGAAGAAGAAGAAGAAGAAGAAGAAGAAGAAGAAGAAGAAGAAGAAGAAGAAGAAGAAGAAATAATAAACCAGGCAGGCCCCTGAGTTTAGCTCTTACTTGGTCACCGTCATTTGCATCTTGCCAAGAATACTAGCTGTATGATTTGTGGAAGATGTTTAACCTCACTGTACATCATTATAGGCCTACCTATAAAATAGAGGTGATAATAACACCACAGAGAAATAGGGTAAAGAGTAAAAGAGTTAGTATCTACAAAGTGCTTTATTCTATTACATATTTGCATTGGTGTGTTTTCTTTGCTACAACAAAACACCTAATGCTGGGTATTTTATACAGAAAAAGGTTTATTTAGTTTACAGTTTTGGAGACTGACAGTTCACACAGCATGGCACTGATTCTGGTAAAGGCCCCCATGGCTACATCAAAACCTACTGGATGACATCATGGTGATGTGAGAGAGAGCATTGTGAGAAGGAAAAATTTGTGGCAAAACAGGGAGCTAGACAGCTTCAAGAGTTAGGCTCACTCTATCATACCAACCCATTCTGAGGGACCTAACTCAGGCTGCAAGATCAACATTAAGGCCTTCTGAGAGCACATCCCCAGTGGCCTAAGCACCTCCATAGGCCCACCTTCAATGGTTCCACTGCCTCTTAACATCACTACAGTGGGGACCAAGCACCCAGCACATGACCCTTTGGGTCACACGCTCAAACCACAACAGTGCCTGTAAGTGTTTGATATTATTTGTATATTGTGGTTTTATATTCTTTATTCATGAAGAGTTCTAGGAGATGATAACTAAAAGTGTACTTCCATTTAGTTTGTGTCTGCTTTAGAGCAAGTCCTTTGCCTGGTCACACAACAGAGTTCTCTGGGAGGGCAGCACATACTTGCAGGATTACTAATCTTCCCTCTTTTTTTTCTCACTTGTTTGGCCCAATCCACTCTTCTCTTGCTGTGGTTGAGCAGTTGAACATGAATATCCCAAAGCCGAGGCCAGGCGAAGTTTCCCAACAGGCACAGCCTGTTTAAGCTATAAGGGTAAAAGTCACTGAAGAACCTGCTAATGTGTTTGTCATTTCATGATTTAGAGGTACAAGTCACCTCCACCCTTGCATCGTTCCCATCCTGTATTCTGTCACAACTTGTTCATCCAACAGGGAATGCCACTGTTAGCCTACAAAAGTAAAGACACCGAGTAAAGTTTGAGTTTCAGATAAACAGTGATTAATTTTTATTTGTTATTTATCTGAAATTCTAATTTAACCACATGTCTTGTATTTTATCTGGCGCTACTATACTAAATTAAATACTGCCCCTGGACTTCCTAAATGGCAGGGTAGCGGCAGCTCCATCTAGCCCTGTCTAGGGTCCAGGATGTCACGAGGCTCACTTCTGTTGAAGTCATATCTGCCAAGCCAAACACTAAGCATGCTTCCTGGCAACATAATCCCACAGGATGTTCCATAACTTAGAGATCAATTTGGGAAAGTCTATATTCTTTTTAACTCCTGTCATTTCCATCTTAGCTTATACATTATTCTTATTCTGTAGTTTGGTAATATCTTGTTTTATTACCTATATAATAATACTATATATAATCAAGTATAGGTAGTACATATGACATAATGTAATCATAATATTTAATATCTATATAAATATATTTTACATTACTGTTTTTTGAGATAAAACTGATTAGATTTCCCACATTTTTTCATGTTGAAGAGATAAAAACTATGACACAGAATTTCATGTCAAGATAATAAAAAATTAACAATAGTTAATACATTGAATGTTGTTGTCTTCAAGATTACTCAGATTATAAAATATAAGCCTGCAAAATTGATCAAATGATAAGCACAAATTGTTCTTTTCAATGAACTAAAAGAAATTAGCATAATTATCTTTA